CGAACCCTCGGGCGGGAGAGCCGCCACGCTTCCCAAGCGGTGCACTTATCCAGTGTGCCACCGGGCCGGCCCTTTATTCTTTTTTTTTAAGATGAAAGATATTCTGGTTTGCCAAGTACAAGAACTGTTTGTATGCAGATTAGAACATGAGAAGTTTCTGTTCGGTTCCAAACTATGAGAACATGAGATATATAATAAATCTTTGAAAAGTCTTCGCTATAAAGCACACAAAAGAAATAACCTTTTTAATTAAGGTGAAGTTTACATAACAAAATTATTCGTTTTATTTTATTTTTTATTTTTATTTTTATTTATTTATTTTTTTTTTTCCTTTTTGTCTTTTTTTTACTGACCGGTAACGGGATCGCAACCCTCGGTGTTGCGCCCGCACCACGCTCAGCCAGTGAGCGGGAACCGGTCTCCACATGGGATCCGAACCCTCGGCGGGAGCGCTGCCACACTCCCAAGCGGCGCACTCTCCAGTGCGCCACCGGGCTGGCCCTTATTTTTTATTTTTTAAAAAGATGACCGGTAAGGGGATCTTAACCCTTGACTTGGTGTTGTCAGCACCACATTCTCCTAAGTGAGCCATGGGCCAGCCCCAAAATTATTCATTTTAAGGTGAACAATCAGGGCTGGCCCATGGCTCACTCGGGAGAGTGTGGGGTGCTGATAATACCAAGGCCACAGGTTCAGATCCCTATATAGCGATGGCCGGTTCACTCACTTGGGAGAGCGTGGTGCTGACAACACCAAGTCAAGGGTTAAGATCCCCTTACCAGTCATCTTTTAAAAAAATAAAAAATAAAAAAACAAAGTGAACAATTAAGTGGCATTTAATAGATTCACAATGTTGTGCAACCACCACCTCTACCTAGTTCCAAAACATTTTTATCACCCAAAAGCAAATCCCATATCCATCAGGTTGTTGCTCCCCATTCTTCCTTACCCTCTGCTCCTGATAACCACCAATCTGCATTTTCTATTGACTTATTTATTCTGGATATTTCATATAAATGAAATCATAAAATACATGACCTTATGTGTCTTGGCTTCTTTCACTTAGTATGTTTTCAAGGTTTATCCACCTTGTAGCATGTATCAAATCTTCATAGAGGTGGTGGTTGCAAAACACTGTGAATGTACTAAATACCATTGAATTGTATGCTTTAAAATCATTAATTTTTGTTTTTTTGTTTTGGTGACTGGCCAGTGCAGAGATCCAAACCATTGACCTTGGTGTTATAACACCTAGCCCTAATGGTTTAATTTTATGTTATGTGAATTACACCTCAATTTAAAGAAACAAAAACATTTAATCCTCATAACAACCTGAACAGGTAATAGTATTATTCTCACCATTTTGCAGATGAAGAAACAAATACCAAGAGATTCAACAACTTCTCTAACATCAACAATTGGTAACAGGCAGAATCATGATTTGAGTACCTGGTTTTTATTCTACTGGTTATAAATACATAAGAGTGGAATTACTGGGTCATATAGAATTCTATGTTTATGTCTTTGAGGAACTGCCAACCTGATTTCCACAGCAGCTGCACCATTTTACATTCCTATCAGCAATGTATAATGATTCCAATTTCTCCACAACCTTGCCAATACTTACTTTCCTTTTTTTTTTTTTTATTATTATAGCCATCCTAGTGGGTGTGAAATAGTACCTCACTATGGTTTTTAATTTGCATTTCTCTAATGACTAAAGATGTGGAGCATCTTTTTCATATGCTTTTTGGCCATTTTTATATCTTTGGAGAAATGTGTATTCAAGTCTTTTTGCCCATTTTTAAATTGGGTTTATCTTTTTGTTGTAGTAATCTTTTTCAACTACAGGTAGTATTCAACTCCCAAACATCACTTACAAGAGGACTCTTTTCCACACCATAATTGCCAGAACTTCTCTTCTTCCTTTATACTCCCGTGTCTGCAGAAGAAGGAGCCCACTTCTACTACCAGGGCTAATATAGAAAGTGGGGCAAAGTATTCCTAGAGTCCAAGGTTCAAACCCAGAATAAAACAGGACTGTTCTCCAACATTGCTATTCTTTTCACCTCATAGTATAGGCAGCCATCCTGAGAGGCTAACCACCATTTATCATTCACAAACAAAATTTTCAGAAAGTCCGTATTTTTTTTAAGTGGTGTTAATACATTTTTCAGGTTTATTCTTTTTTTAAAAAAAAAGATAGTCTTACCTGGATGCTCATGTCAAAAGGAGTCAATTCTTCTTCACCCTGAGATTCAAACATGGCCCGGGAGGCATCAACCAAAAAAATCAAACTATCTCTTCCTGAATATTTATATTCTCCTATGGGGAAAGAAAATAGAAAGAAATGTTTGCCTTTATATTCATATTTATCATGTTTATCATTCATATAAAACAAATAGAGGGCCAGCCCGTGGCTCACTCGAGAGAGTGCGGTGCTGATAACACCAAGGCCACGGGTTCGGATCCCATATAGGGATGGCCGGTTAGCTCATTGGGAGAGCGTGGTGCTGACAACACCAAGTCAAGGGTTAAGATCCCCTTACCGGTCATCTTAAAAAAAAAAAAAAAAATTAAGTCTGGAATAGAACCTGAATAAAAGAGCCTAGGGTAGCTCTGCAGAGTTCGAAGGGAGAAAAAGTATTTTAGATTATCTGGGGAGAGAAGGGTGGGCCATAGACAGCAAAGTCCACCCAGCAGAGATAGGGAAGATCTCACTTCCACACACACAATATGTTAAAGTCACTTACCACCTGCTTCAAGACTCTCCTCTTGTTGTTCTTCTTCTTCATCACCCTCGGTTTTGTAATAAGACTCCCACCCTGACATGTTGGTTACTGCTCACTAGGTGAAAAAAGTTAAGATCAAACAAATTTAAACCGGAAACCAACTCTGGCTCTTCTGAGATCTGTTCTAAAGGCTCGGGGTAACTTTTCAGGAAAGTGAGTGATGGACCCTGCTGCCTCGAGAGCTCTTGGTGATAAACGGGCACAGGGGTATTCCAGCAGCAGCCTCACCTTACCTACCCCTTACGGATGCTTCAGTGGTGGCCCAGGGTGGCCGCTCTGATAGGTGTGCTGGGGCAACTTGACACTGAGGTCCAGTCCGGCCTTTGGCGCCATTTGGACTGTGAGAGACTCGGGGATACTCCGTTCTCTAGCGGACTCACCCACCCCAGAATCTCCCCCAACCTCTCAGCCAGTCACGCCCACTGAGGTCTCACACACAGGCGGGCCTCAAAGTCCAGGGGCCGCCTCCCCCGGGAGGACAGAGCGGGGCCCAGAAGCTGTCCGTATCCCTTGGGGTCCGCACACTTCCGGCTGACGCTGCCCCGCGGCGAGGCTAGGGGGCCGCGCGAGATGGAGTGGGCAAAGCGGGACGTGGCCAGCCCTGGTCGGGAACAACAGACACACAGAGCACAGCCCGCCTACCTCCTGCGCAGGAACGAGACCAACTTGGACGGAAGGTGCGGCAGCACGCAAGCGCAAGCTCCTGTCCTCTCTCCCAATCAACGCTCCTTGCGTCATCACGCTCAGTGCGCACATCTTCAGTCAGGCTGACACGCCCACTTCCACAACCAGCTCCTGCACACGTCCCGAACTAACGCCAACCGCATCGGAGAAAGCCCCGCCCCTTTCTGCAAAGCCCCACCCCCTCCGCCCGTCAGAAGTGTACGCACATGCGCGAAAGTGCGTCCCCGCCCCCGCCCCCTCTTCCGTGCGGACCCTCCCTGTCCCCTCTCTGTCACCTCACAGTAGTCGTTGCCGGTAGCGGGTGCGGGGGCGCGAGCAGAGCAGAGCGCCCTCTCCCCCGCCCTTCAGGCCGGGCCCGGGCTCGGTCCCCCCGCTCCCTCCTCTCCCCACCCCTGTTGGGCACCGGAAGGTCCAAGCCGCTGCCGGGTGTCCGAGGGCCATCGTGGCCGCCGCCGCCGCCACAGGTCCCGATGGACCCGCCGAACCTCTATCCGGTGAAGCTCTACGTATACGACCTGTCCAAGGGCTTGGCCCGGCAGCTCAGCCACATCGTGCTGGGTGAGGGCACTGGGGTCAGGTGGGAAGGAGGGCGGGGGCCAGGCACGAAGGTGCCTGCCGGCGGAAGTGGGAAGGCTTGGGCCACGAAGAGCCCAGAGCATGGAAGAAAAGTGCGAGAGGAGAAGGGGTCTGGAGTTTGGGCTCCCTGAGCCCTGCTTTCCGATTTTCTTGTTTGAATCCAGGGAGAAGGGATGGAGGAGTCACGCCCTCCCCTTGCCGGGGGTTCGGGTAGAGACCTCCAGAGCCCCTTCAGCTGGGGGGTGGGGTGAGCCAGCCTGGATCCTGGCGGGCCCCCTTCCTCGCTTGGGGAGCCTCCACACGCCTTCCTTGGCGCGGTGAGCAGAGGTGAGGATTTCTGCCGCGCGGTGCCCCTCGTGGTGAAGGGGACACTGCGGAGGAGATTGGCTGGTTATCCTCAGAGAGCCTTCTGTCCGTGCCAAAAGGAAACTCCCTCTGCAGGCCCTGGGGTAGAAGGGGAGAGAGAGCCAGAGCTGCACGGGGGGCCCAGCCCACGCCCCCAGGTAGAAGTCAAGTCAGGTCAACAGGAGCCCGAACTCCAGAACTTACCAAGTTCGGCCTGACAATGCTGTCTTCTCTCAACAGTTTCTAAGGTAATTGCTTTTGACCAGTTGGTAAGAAAGCGATTCCGAGGGAGGACTGGATGCTGTTGTGTCAGGAAGAATTAGGAAGGGAAGTTGTGCTCCATTAAACTACTTAATTTGCCAGGAGAGAAAATCAGCCTTCAGTGTAAATCAAACCTCATTTCAACCCAAACACCAGAATATATGTGTGACATAGGAATTGTCAGGTTTGTGATTTCAGGTAATAATGGGCAGGAAAGGATTCCAGGAATTAAATTGAACAGCTCTGGCAACATCCATTTGAATAGCTAGTTTTTCCTGGCTTCTATGGAGACAGTGGAGAATGATTTAGTTCATCCCGGTGAGAAAGGAGGCAGAGGTCAAGTAAGCACGGCTCATTTTGAGAGCATCTTTTCAATGTTCTTGAGTTTCTAAGGTATCATAGTGAGTTGAACTTAATCTCTCAACCCTGGGCCAGTGAGTGGTTTCTATATTTGGCTTCACATCAGAATAATCTAGGATGCTTGTTTAAAATACAGATAACTTTATTTTCAACATATATTGCTAAGTGGGAGTAGAAAAAAACAAGGTTAGAACAGCCTTTTAAATATGCAGGTATGCATTTAAATCAAAGGATATATATGTGCTTGCTTAGGCAAATAATTATCTGGAGTAATACACAAGAAATTGTTGACGGTGGTAGCTTATGGAAAGGGGAACTTGATGCCAGGGGGACAGGAGTGGAAGGGAAACTTTGCTGTAAGCTTTTTCTTACCTTTTTTTTTTTTTTTTTTTTTTTTGCGGCGGCTGGCCAGTACAGGGACCCAAATCCTTGACCTTGGTGTTA